CTCCCTCAGACCCAGGAGTCCGGGCCCCCAGCCCCTCCTCCCTCAGACCCAGGAGTCCGGGCCCCCAACCCCTCCTCCCTCAGACCCAGGAGTCCGGGCCCCCAACACCTCCCTCAGACCTGGAGTCCAGGCACCCTGCCCCTCCTCCATCAGACCCAGGAGTCCGGGCCCCTAACACCTCCTCCCTCAGACCTGGAGTCCAGGCCCCCTGCCCCTCCTCCCTCAGACCCAGGAGTCCGGGCCCCCAACCCCTCCTCCCTCAGACCCAGGAGTCCGGGCCCCCAACCCTCCTCCCTCAGACCTGGAGTCCAGGCCCCCAGCCCCTCCTCCCTCAGACCTGGAGTCCAGGCCCCTGCCCCTTCTCCATCAGACGTGGAGTCTGGACCGCCAGCCCACCCCTCTCCTGGAACGTAATACAACTCACACATCTTATGACTCCCAGACTCTGTTTCCCTAACACTTAACCACTCTAGAGCCTCGGAGTTCAGCCCCTGACCCTCTGCCGGGACTTGGGTCAGCTGTGTGCTTCACTCTCAGGTGCTGCCCACCTCAGGCTGTTTAACCCTTGCCTCCTCCTGACCTGCGCTCCGGCCTCCAAACCTCACCTTCTCCAAGCTTGCCTGACCCTTCGCTGCCCGCTGTGGTCAGTGCCCAGTTCTAGATCCCATGCCAGCAGAGGCCTGCCCAGGAGCAGACCCCGCCCCCACCTCGGGGGTCGTAAGCCCCGCCCCTAGACCCGCCTCTTCTACCCCACTAGGGCCAGAGCGACATCGTGTGTTGACTCCTAGAACTGGCTGCCGCCAGAAATCTGTCCCAGACCCAGGCCCATAGCCTCTTCCGCTCTCACACCAGGGAGTTCAGGCCCCCAGTCCCCTCCTCCCTCAGACCCAGGAGTTCAGGCCCCCAGTCCCTCCTCCCTCAGACCCAGGAGTCCAGACCCCCAGTCCCCTCCTGCCTCAGACCCAGGAGTCCAGGCCCCCAGGCCCTTCCTCCCTCAGACCAGAAGTCCAGGCCCCCAGCCCCTCCTCCTTCAGACCAGGAGTCCAGGCCCCCAGCCCCTGCTCCCTCAGACCCAGGAGTCCAGACCCCAGGCCCCTCCTCCCTCAGACCCAGGAGTCCAGGCCCCCAGGCCCTTCCTCCCTCAGACCAGGAGTCCAGGCCCCCAGCCCCTGCTCCCTCAGACCAGGAGTCCAGGCCCCCAGCCCCTGCTCCCTCAGACCAGGAGTCCAGGCCCCCAGCCCCTCCTCCCTCAGACCCGGGAGTCGGGACTCCCAGCCCCTGCTCCCTCAGACCCAGGAGTCCAGACCCCAGGCCCCTCCTCTCTCAGACCCAGGAGTCCAGGCCCCCAGGCCCTTCCTCCCTCAGACCAGGAGTCCAGACCCCCAGCCCCTGCTCCCTCAGACCAGGAGTCCAAGCCCCTGTGGAGGATGAACTCCTTTCTCTAGTTTGGCCCTGCCATGACCCCACCAGCTGCCCCATCAATACCCCAGTGACAGGTCAGACACAAGTGTTTCGTGAGGGGTGTTCAGGGGATCGGACACTGGGGTCCTGTTTGGGGAAAGGATGAGACAACCAGATTCCAGAATGATGCAGTGAGAGATGATGTCAGACTTGGGGCAGAGGGGAAGCAGGTGGTGGAGCAACTGGGAGGGGCGGGTGGGGGGAGGTCCTCATTCTGCATCTACAGACTTCAGGGGTGGGGGGGGGGCAAGGCAGGCACTCCTGGGCCTGATGGAGGAGGGGCTGGGGGCCCAGGATTCACATCCTTTCCTTGGTTTGCAGCAAGATGACCACTGTGAAACTCCCTTCATTTTTTTAAACAAACCTTTTATTTCAGAATAGTTTTCAATTTCCAGAACAGCTGGAAGGATGGTGCAGAGATCCGCCAGGCCGTCCCCAGCTCCCCGCCAGGCTGGTATCTCACGCAGGCAAGGGTACATTTGTCCAAACAAAGGAGTCATCAGTCAAGCTAGACACTGCGTAGACTCTGGATCAGGTCTTAGCAGCGCTTCCGCCAACTGCCTTCTGTCCCGGGTCCGATCCAGGACACCACACGGCACTTGGTGAACCCACTCTTTTGAGTGTAGAAAGCACACAGGGCAGATTCCCTGGGATGGGGAGCCTGAGCTGGGCCCTGGGAAGGGCCTGGGATGCCCCGCAGGTGGGAAGCCCCAGCCATCAGGCTCATGCTGCAGGCGGGAGGGCGAACGTCCCAGCTGGGCCCGGGGCTCTCAGTGCAGACTCCGAGGCCCACGAAGCTGGGACAGCCCCACACCTCCCTGCTCCGTGCTGGTAGGGAGCTGGCACAACGGGGAGCAGAATCCCTCGTCCGGCGGGAGCAGAACTGAAAAGATGTCGAAAGGAGGAAAACCAAGTCCACCCCGGACAGCCCAACAGGTGAGGCCGAAAACCATGGGAGACAGAGGTTGCCTAGGTATAGGTTCCAACGAGGTTGGAGAGGGCTTGGAGGCACTGAGCTGTGAGTAAAGTTCTCTGGGGAGGATGCACTATGCGCAGAGGGCCAGTGGCAGGACAGTGCGTGTGTGCGTGCAAGGATTTAGGTCCAGACAGGATGAGTGACCGCCCCAGTGTCACCCGGAGTCCAGGGAAATGGAAGAGGTGGAGGGTGAGGTTTCCATGGTGCTGGATCTTGAGAACTCATAGTGCCATGGACGGCGAGAGTCAACCAGGTGGCAGTGGGGACGAGTGGCCCGGTCAGAGCTCCGTGAGAGGCACTCGGCAGGTCCCCGCAATGCAGAAACATGCCTACAGGGAGCAGAGCCTTCCTTCAAGAAAGCACAGTCAGGACAGAAGGAAGAGGAAGGGTCCTTGAGAGAGGAGGGGGCTGGGGGCCTGGACTCCAGTCTGAGGGAGGAGGGGCTGACTCTTGGACTCCTAGGTCCTCAGCTGAGAGGGGGATTGTGCTTCCCAGTCCAGCCCGCAGCAGGGAGAGATGCACTGTGTTCCATCTCCGTCCTCCGGGGAGCAGCTGTCATCCAGGTGGCCGGGCGGGGGAGTGCTGGGGGAGGGGCCATTGGCCCAGGCTCTGACCACCTGTCTCAGTCACCTGGTCAGGGAGATCCCCCATCTGTCCCCATCCTCCTGCCATCTTTGTCCTCTTCCTCCTCCTCATCTGTCCACTCCTCCAGGCTTGCTCCCCCCTCTTCCTCCTCCTCCCCATCTTCACTAGACATGCCCCCCAAGCCCCCAGGTCCCTCTCTGTTCCTCTCTAGCCCCCAGTCGTCCCCCAAGAAGTCCAGGACAACCAGTGGGGGGCTCCTAGTATCAGGATCCAGGTCTAGGAGCCCCTGGAGCAATGCCAGAGCTGGGGGAGCAAACTGGTCCCAAGGGGGGGGTGGCCGAGGGGGTTGGGGCCTGGTGGTCATCCAACCAGCAAAGGTCTCAAACTCGGGGTCCGGGGCCAGTGCCACGTCCCAAGGGAAGCAGGCGGTGGCAGTGCAGAAGAGAAGCACCCCCAGGCCCCAGGAATCCAAAGCTGGTCGCAGGGGCAGGGTCTCAGGTGGCAGCAGGAGGCAGAGCTCGGGTGGAGCAGAGGGTAGTGGCCCTGGTGGGGCAGGGGTTGGACTGCCCTCGGGCCGGGTCAGACCCAAGTCACCTAGGGCCACACGGCTGCAGACAGGATCAAAGACCAGCACGTTGTCTGGTTTGACATCTGCATGGACGAGCCCCCGGCCATGGAGGAAGTCCAGGGCTCCAGCCAGCTGGGCCATCACCCGCTTCACCAGCAGCTCTGGGAGGCCCTGGGGTCAAGGAGAGATGAAGGTCAGGGTGCCTTGGCTCCTTCTTTATTTGGTTTCTTGGAGATCAAGAATTCAGAACCTCAGACCAGTGGCTACCTCTAGTGTCCCCCAACACCGTCTCCAGGTTATCCTCAGCCACACCTTGTTACAACCTCTGTATTCCAACCCCCAGTATGTCATCACCGGAACCCCAGACTGAACCAGAAGCTGTTTTAGCTTCCACCAAGCTTTCTTCTAACCCTAACTCAAACCCCCTCCTTACATATCCTGTTTCCTCCAGCCTGATCTCCTAGATCTCCAATGGGAACCGAAATCTCATACTTAATCCCAATCTTAGTTCCTACTAATTTAGATTCTACTACGAGTAGAATTCCTACTAATTTAATTCTCTAACTCAGACACCATTCTGAAGTCAGCTTACTTCATTGCATTGATAAATCAATCCATCCGTCAAACCACTCATCCATTCAAGTTTACACAGCAGTGTTTCTGTTTAGCTTCCATTCTACCAGTCAGCAATCCCATCAAGTATTGAATTATTTGTTATCCAAAATCCATCCATTTGTTCTTCCTTGCTTCCTTCCATTTATCCGCCACCCATCAACCCAGCCATCTTTTCATCCATCCACCATCCAGCCACTCTCCCATCTTTCCTTCCATCTACCCATCCACCCACCCACCCATCAATCCATCTCTTCATCCATCCACCATCTCCCCATCTTTCCATCCATCTCTCCATCTACCCATGCATGTATGCATCCATCATCCATCCATCCATCTTCCCATCTGTCTACCATCCATCAACCCCTCAATCCAGCCATCTTTTCATCCATCCACTTGTCTTTCCATCCATCCATCCATTTCTCTGCCCATTCATCTGTCTCCCTCCCTTCTTTCTTTCCTTCTGCTTATCTCTAACCCTGTCTGAAATCCAAAATTTATTCCTAAAATTGGCTCCATCCTAATCTTCAAACTCACGTACCCTCAGAATCTCATGAATTCAGTCCTGACCTGGTCTCCTCAGCAGAAAGAACCTCATTACTCATCTCCGATCTCCAACTCATTCTGTATACATATCGTCAACCATCCCGTCTCACTCTGCAACCCCATCCATACTTTCTACACCCATTACCAATCTATAGTCAACCCACACCACTCCACGCATGCCCACCCCAATCCCAGTGCTAACTAAAATTTCACCCCTAATCTCATTCCCAACCCAACCCCAAGTCCCTGCCCATGCAAACTTGTGGTGGGATGGTTGGGTGGATTAGGTTAGGGTTAGGCATGGGATTGCACCCAGAGTTAGAAATAAGGAGGGTGTCTGGGGCTTAGGGAAGGGCTAGGTTGAGCACTGATTTGGGTGTCAGGATTGGAGCTAGAAATGGGTTAGGGACAGTTGTACATGGGATAAGCCTTTCTGGCCTTTGGTCCCCACCCGCCTCACCCGTTCCTTCAGCATCCCGCTGAGGTCCCCATATGGCGCGTACTCCTGGGCGAAGGCGAAGTGTCGGGGGCTTTGCAGGGGTCCTGCCAGAGTCTGCAGTAAGCCTGGGTGTGAAGAGACACAGCGGCCCACACAGAACTCTCTCAGGAAGGTGGTCCTCAGGACCGAATCCCGACGAAGTACCTTCAGGGCCACAGCAGGTCCTGCCAGGTAGAGGGGAGCAGAAGGGAACTCAGAGAGCTCTGATCTTGCTGTGGGGCCTTAGGCAACCTGCTTAACCTCTCTGAACCTCAGATGTTTCATGTGTAAAACAAGAATGGGAGGGAATAGTGTCTGACATCTCTCAGCTTCCAGTCTGTCCTTGTGTGAAGTAGGGGTTAAAGGTGACCATCCCTGAGGACTCCCTATTCGGCTGTGTGGCCTCACGCAACTGCTTTACCCTCTCTGAGCCTCAGTTTTCTCTTGAGTCAAGTAGGGAACATGGTGACCTGAGCTCCAATCCAAACCTCACTCCTGCCTTGTTGTGTGACCTCAGGCAAGTAAGTCTTCCTTGGGCTAGCTCTGTTTATTGGAAGATCAAAGAGCTCTTCACTTTCTGAGCGCCCCCGTCCAGGGTTCCTGTCATCTCCTGGGGATGCCCCTTGTCTCGGTGGCTTCTGAGAATCCTATTCTAGGGACATGCTGGAGTCTGCCCTTTGGTGGCCAAACTCACCTCCTTGGCGAGGCCGGGCAAGGAGTACGCGGCCATAGGAGCCAGAGCCGAGCTCTCGGATGAGGCGGTACGGGACACGTAGATTCCTCACTGGGGTCACCCTGGTGGCTGTCAGTTCCACGAGCCGCTGGAGGGCTGTAGCTGTGTCCTCCTGTCGGAGAGGAGCAGAGGTGGGGAGGGGGTGAGTCTGGGGCCCCCTGAGAGTGGTGGGGGAAACTGGAGGTCCAGCCCAGGGTTGGGGTGGGGTGCCAGGGTAATGGGGTCATTGTCCCCAGGGAGGAGGATGAGTCACAGTGACTCACCGGCCTTGGGCCACCTGTTTTTGTGTCCTGGCAGAGTCAGGGTGATTGTCTCAGAGACCCTGCCCATCTCTGGGAACCACCAGAAGCCCCCAGCCCCAGCTGGGACTTCACGCTCAGCTCACACAACCCCCACTGCACCCATCTCTCTCTCCATCCTCTCCCTGTGCTTCCCGTTCTTTGTTTCTGAGTCCATTGCCCTGGCGGCCTGAGTCTAGCTTTGTGTCCTCGGGTTGGTGTTATTCTGGGTCTCTCTGTTTCTCTGTTTCCCTGTCTCTTCCATCCCTCTGTGTTTGTCCATGTCCCTCTTTGTGTCTATCTCTGACTCTGTTTTTCTGCATCTCTCTCTCTTTCCTGTCTCCCATCTCTCACCTCTGGGTCCCCATCCTCATGGTTCTCGGGCTCCCTGAGCTCCATTTCAGAGACCCCTGGTGTCCGCTGGACCTTGCACAAGCCAGCACCCCTTGTCTGGGTCGCCTGCGTCCCACTGTGCCCCACAGAGCTGAGGTCTAGAGCCCGTTGGAAAGGGTCGGCCTCAGTCTCTCTCTGCCTGTCCGAGTCAGAGGATTTCTTCGCCGTCCTCTGCCGGACTCCTGCCTCCGGACAGCCCGGTCTCTGTCTGTCCGTCTGCACTATCCTGCTGATCTCTCTGCTCCGTCTCACACCTCCTTCCCCTCTCCAACCTCACAGTATCTTTGCTTCTGTGGGACTGTCTATCTCCCAGTCTCTCTCCACCAGCCTTCCTGCCACTGTCTTGCCCCTATCCCAGCTCTCAATTCTCTGGGTGGGTCTCCCTATCCTGTGTCTCGTCTCCCACACTCTCCCCACTGTTGTCACCACTGTTTGTCATTCAGGATATCCCACACTTTCACTCTTTCTCTGTTCTCCCACTCGGCTGTGCTCTGGCCTGCTCTCCCCAGTGTCTCTCTGTCTCCCTCCTCCCGTCTTTGTTCCTGACTCTCTCTCAGAGCCTTTGTCCCTCCCTTTCTCTGGGCCCGAGACAGGGGTGTGTGTGACAGCTCAGAGACATCCTGTCCCCCCCCACAACCCTCCCTCACCCCCTCTGACCCGCTGCCCCCCTCCCTCCCCCTTCCAAACTTAGACCAGCTTGGACTCTGGGCTCTGGTCCCAGGACAGAGGGGACAAAATGTATTGTGAACCCCCAAGGGCCAGGCCTGATGGCAGTGAGAAAAGGGGAGACAGGGCCCCTTCACATACCTTACTTGGGATGGGAGACCCAGAGCACCATGTTTTGTGCCTTCCTCCATGGGATGGGAGTCTGGCCTCCAGGAATAAGGGAGACTTTCCCAAAGCCCTGTTCTTTAATACCAAGTCCCCACCCCAGCTGCCTTCTCCCTCAGACCCAGGAGTCCAGGCCTCCAGCCCCCTCCTCCCTCAGACCCAGGAGTCCAGGCCCCCAGACCCCTCCTCCCTCAGGCCCAGAGTCCAGCCTCCTCCAGCCTCCTCCCTCAGACCCAGGAGTCCAGGCCCCCAGCCCCTCCTCCCTTAGACCCAAGATACCAGACCGTCAGTCTCTCCTCCCTCAGACCAGAAATCCAGACCTCATCTCCTCCTCCCTCAGACCCAGGAGTCCAGCCCCCAGTCCCTCCTCTCTCAGACCCAGGAGCTCTAATGAGCAGGTGGTGCACTGGGGAAAGGACTTCTTTATGTTCTCAGCACCTGCCCTGAGCCTGGTTCTGGGTGGGGCTGGGGTGGGGCTTTACCCTGGATCCTCCCAGCCATCCAGCAAGGGTGAGGATTTATCCCCAGTTTACAGAGCAGGAGACTGAGGTTGGGAGCTGGGACCACCGTGCACAAGGTCAGAGTGGGAGGAGGCATCTGGGGGACCCTGAGCCAGGTTCGAGTGACTCACAGCCCTGAGTTTTGCCCGACTTGGTTTCACTACTACTCGAATCCTGCTATTAATAAAGACACAGCAACTACGCTACCCAGACTCTGGAAGGATCCCAGGGGGGAAGCTGACGAGCACGTTGCCCCTGGGAACCCTGGCAGGGGGTGGGGCTGGTAGCAGAGAGAGAACTTCCTTTGCTCTTTGATCTTTGGGGGGTTTGCTGGTGAAAACCTCTGCAAACGTGCAGAGAAGCCCTAAGAGCCCCACCGTGAACACCCTCCAGCGTCCTGACCAGACTTCTCCTGTTGGCATTTTCCAGTACTCTCTGTATCTGTTTCCTGGTGGGCGGAATGAAGTATTGCAAAGTCAACCGCAGCCTACCGACCGAAATCTTCTTGGGTGAAATGGTGTCCCGGCCGGCCGGTGTCTGCTTTCAAATACTCCCGCAAGAGAACATCCACCAATGGCCCAATGGCCGGGGGTGAGGCTGCGGGGGGCGGGGGGGGGGGCGGCGACGGGCGCCGTGCTCACCTGGCAAAGTGCGGACACCAGGTTCCTTTTACTCTTTATTTTTGGTTATGCTGGACGTTTTTCCTCATGAAAAGCTGACTGTTGTCAGACACACGACAGGCAGCCCAAGAGCGCATCGCCACACCGCGGTCTCCCGCTCTGTGACGGGAGGGATCTTTCCCAGCTCAGTTGCAAAGCTTTTATCGATTGCATTTTGTGGCATCAAACAGTCATTCCAGAAGTCCAGCTGACGCCCAGTCCTATTCTGTGCACCCCAGTTTGCCCAAATAAATCGTCTGTTGATGCCGCGGCTGGGTCAGTGGTGGGTGAAGACACCCAGCTCCTGGGGAGCTTTCCATTGCTGTGCCTTTTGTACTATTTGAATTTTTTTTTTTTTTTAATTTAAGACTTTGTGGAATCCTCCCTATAAGCCGTGGACCGGTAGGACATGGTTTCCGATTCACTGATGGGGAAACTGAGGCAGTGGTCCGCAGTCACTGAGAGGAAGAGACAGGCCTCCACGAGGGTCTGCGGCCTCTGGCCGCTAGCTGTCCCCTGGCTGGGCAGCTGGAGGAAGGCAGACCCCCCGGTGTCCGACAGGAGCCGAATTCTTCCACTGGGGACTTGGGGCCGGATGTGTGCACCCAGGGGGCCCGCGGGGACCGCAGAGCAGCTGTTCAGCTAGAGCCAGAAGGTCAGGCTGTGGAGCCACCTGGGTCTGCTGGGAGGAGGGCAAGGGGGGACGCCGCAGGCCTCACTGCACCCCCCGCCCCCTGGGAGGCTCACTGATGATCCGGGGAGCTTTGCACCTCCCCATTTAGCAGCACTGCCCCACAGGGTCACCCGGAGTGACCTGGAGAAGGTGGATGCGGGCCGGGGACGCTCCAGTCCGGGCCGCCAAGGTGCACACACCCTCATTAAAGTTGGCCTCTAGGCCTCCAGCCCGTCCCCTCCTCCCGTCCCCAAGGGCTCTTCCAGGGACTGTCCTAGTTCAGTCCCTCCTGGCCCAGCAAGTGCTCTCCCACAAGTGTCCAACTGCCCCCGTGCCTCAGTGTCCTCCTTATGAGATGGGAGCAATTGCAGGTTCTACCCAGAACATTCTCTGAGTGGGAGACATTTCACATTACAGTATGTGTTACATTTATAATATGTTACATATGGTATATAATAGAATAATAGATGTAACCTGCATTACCTTGTATAATAATTATATATAGTATATACTATCGTATGCATAGTAGTGTATATATCTTATATATTTTTAAATTGTTATTTTTTAAAGATTTTTAATCTTATTTATTTATGAGAGAGAGCAAGAGAGCACAAGCAGGGAGAGCAGGCTCCCCGCTGAGCAGGGAGCCCGATGTGGGGCTCGATCCCAAGACCCCAGGATCATGACCTGAGCCGAAGGCAGATGCTTAACCCACTGAGCTACCCAGGTGTCTTGGTTATATACGTATTTTAAAGAGTAGATTTTTAAAGTAATCTTTATACCCAATGTGGGGCTCGAACTCATGACCTAAAATCAGGAGCCACACACTCCGCCAACTGAGCCAACTGGGCACCCTATTATTTATATATTTTATATTTTTTTCCAAATAAGTTTACTGAATAAAATATATATGGAAAGATCACCTAAAAAATTGAGTTACACTTCAAAGACTGTGAACTTGACAACTTAACCCGTTTGCCCTCCCACCGCAGTGCCAAGCCAAAAGAAAAAGATCAATTGAAGAAGAAAAAAAAGTGATAAGATTAAATTGATTTGTTTCGTCCGGAAAGAATAAGATGACAGACTGATAAGTCAAAATCTTGGCTTTTAATCGCTCTTGTGGTACAGTTGACAGTCCTGTGATGAAGGCTGGGCGGGCTTCACTCCTGGTTCTGAGAACATAACTCTGTTTTCTCTCTGGTGCCCCGTGGTACCCCTTGGCTCAGACGTTCGTTGAATAAATATTACCAAGTAAAATAATAGATGAGGGTCACCTGGGTGGCTCAGTCATTAAGCGTCTGCCTTCGGCTCAGCCCATGATCTCCAGGTCCCGTGATCGAGCCCCACATCAGGCTACCCCCTCAGCAGGGAGCCTGCTTCTTCATGGGCACAGAAAACCTTGCTATGGAATATTTTAGCCAACGCACCCAAAGTATCCCAAATAACCTAATGAGTATCTGTCTGTCCACCACTGTCCAGCTGAAGAAAGAGAACGTTTCTACTGTAATTGGAACCTGTGTTGTCCTTACCCCAGTCCAAATCTTCCCCTTCCCTCCCTGAAGTAACCACTATCACTAAAGAGGTATTTGTTATTCATGAGAAAAATGCATTTGCTACATATGGATAAACACATAGCTGCAATGGGGGGTTCACCATGCCTGTGGTTAAATGTTGTATAAATAGTATCACATCGGTGACCTTCCGCAGCTGGCTTTTGTCCTCACCAGCCCAACCCCGGGTTTGCAAACTTCATCTGCGGTTACACGGAGCTCGGGCTCTTTGCTTGGCAGGGATGCTGCGTATTCTAGCCCGTGAACCTGCCCTCTTCCAGGGATCCGGTTCTGTGGATGACGGACCCTTTATGTCTCTCCCATCCTGCGCTCTTACAAGCCGGGATGCAAAGAATATTCTCCCTCCCCTGCGTTCCCCCGTGCTAAGGGGCTCACTTTGGTACTGTCACGCGCTCTCTGAGGGGGTTCTATGCGGCATCAACCTATTATCATCATTCTTTTAAGTTCGTAGGCCCCTCTGAGACTCTGAAGAAAGCCATAAGGACTGGCACCGTGTGATACAGAAGCCACCAGCCACGTGTGGCTCTTAAGCCCTTGAAATGTGGCTGGTCCAAATTGAGAACTCCTGGGAGTGCAAAACAGACCGTGGTTTTCAAAGACTTAGCTCCAGAGAGAAGAAAGCTATCTCCCTAACAACTTTTCTATTAATTCCATGACACCGTGGCAATGTTTTGCGTATATGGTCGCCTGCATTATTTGTGGATTTCATATTTGCAAACTCGTCTACCCACTAAGTTTCCTGTGGTCCTTAGATCCGAGTGGGCAGGCACAG